AGGCATACCTAGATCTTCAGTCCGGCACTTTTACAGGGTCCGGCGCCGGACTTCCAACTCCGGCGTTTTTCTGGATTTGGTCCGGCAGTTTTTCCAAGGCACTTGAAATGTGGATTCTCAAGGCTTTGCATTCTTTGTGGCTTGCATTTCTTTGAAGGTAATGATTTGCTTGCAAAGTGTGCTCGTTTGCCTGTTCCGCTGTTTTCTCATTCCACCGGTTTCAGCATGGTTCACCCTGGATCAATCAGATCCGTTTAGGTGATCTTCTAAGTGAAATCGGATGAAATTGGTACAGTGCGATGCACGTGTTGAAAGACCCAAGTGGGTGTACCTAAGCTGAAAGAACATAGACAAAGATGGACTCCGATTGTTTCAGGATGTCGGGGCGCTGGGATATAATTAGTTCTAGTTGCGCAGGTTTGCAGAGCCTGCCGGACAAGTTTTGGGCTGTGGAACATGTGTTGTTCAGAATCTCAATGTTTTGCAGAGAGTTGCTAAGAAAAATTGCACGTCGTAACTCTGGCGTTTTTTCCCGTAACTCCGGCGTATTTTTTTGGACTCAGTCTTCTGCCTTTTGAAAAGTTTTTCAACTATGAGTGCTGCTACTTTATTGGCGGGGCCGTCCTGAGGCAAGCATATAAGAATCATGGAGAGCCACTTTGTAAAAAAAACAATTAGAGACACGGGTGCAGAGAAATAGGGGTTCCTTGCCACATACTCCTTGGTTTCTTCTTGGAAGTCTTTGCTTGGGCACAAGTTTGCTTATATTTTGTGATGGTTCTGCTCTTAAGATGGGCGAGGGCAATGGGAACGGTAAGGCTCCAGTGCTGGGTTGTGGAATGAGTGTGTTCTAGAAAAAACTACTCGTGGCGCAAAGGCAGTTTGCTTGTGTATGATCCAGCCTTTTATCATCTGTTTTTCAGAATCTTGGATCCGGATGTTTTTTCAGGTCTCCGGCGTTTTTTTCGGAATCCGGCGGACAATTTTGCCGGATTGAGGTCCGGCACTTTTTTCCGCCCAAAGGAGGATCCAGGTATATGGCAGTCCCAGGATGTATAGGCAAATAACGTTTGAATTGAGTCACCTCCGCCCGGGATCCGCCCGCACACCTCCGCCCGCACACTGCTCTTGTCGGCAGCATCACCTCCGCCCGCATCACCGATGCCGGCCGAGACAACAGCAACAACAATTGGTTGGTTGGTCACGCCCTTGGAAACAGCAGCAACAATAATAATAACAGCCGACAACAACAACCACAACAACAACAACAACAACCCCACATGTATGTGTTTTCCCCAGATAGCGAAGCTATGGGGTTCTTACTTCAAATAACAACGAGTTGCCAGTGCGCGCTTTTGAGGCAGGTTGCTGGTGCTGGTGCCGGGTGCCGGTGCTGGTGCTGTGAGCTGGCTGCGCACGTGGTGGAGACAGGTTGCTGGTGCTGGGTGCCGGGTGCCGGTGCTGGTGCTGGTGGTGCCGGGTGCCGGTGCTGGTGCTGGTGCTGTGAGCTGGCTGTGCACGTGGTGGAGACAGGTTGCTGGTGCTGGGTGCCGGGTGCCGGTGCTGGCTGGTGCTGGTGCTGTGAGCTGGCTGTGCGCGTAGTGGAGACAGGTTGATATAGTGCCGGGTGCCGGTGCTGGTGCTGGGGCCCGTGCTGGTGCTGTGAGCTGGCTGTGGACGTGGTGGAGACGGTTGCTGGTGCTAGGTGCCGGGCGCCGGTCAGGGTGCTGGTGCTGTGAG